TATTTGAGTTCTTTTGGAGAGAACGAATTTCAAATGTGTTGTTTTTAGGTTTTCATGGTTTTGAAAAGCAAAAATAAAAAGGGCAATAGAGTGATTTCTCTAAGATTTAGGGCGACAAATGTAACACCCCACCCTAAAGCTCATGGGTTGAACCAATGGTTCACTCGCACAACGGAATCTCTATCGGGGGTTACGCAAAAACTCCACTGTTTACTACTGGTAACATACATACCAACATCATTATAATCCAAAATCACAACGATCATTTCTCAATTTACTCATCATATACTATATCAACTCGATCTAGTTCATTCATTTCATGTCAACCAAATCAGAGTGTCAGTCACTACTATGTTCATTACGGTACCATCTACTATGCAATACCCAAGTCATCGACTCATAAAACATAAATGAGAGTCATTTCAAAATTTGGGAAAAATTCAAAACCAATCCTCCATCGATCATTGTGCAGTGCCAGAGTTCCTCTCAATTCATTCGAACCTGTAATAAACTGAACAGAAGTGGGTCAGCCACTAAGCTGTGTGTGTGGATCTTTCCCACGACCTAGTTTTGGGACCGCAATCAGCTAATCAAACAATCATAATCAATCGTAATTTAGTACTCTAGATGCATCTTAAATCATCATATATAAATTACCGATCAAATTATCGAATCCACCAACTCATCATCACCAAATCAATTTATCCAAATAAGATAATCACATAATTTCACGAACACATAATCAATGCATGATATGAAAATTCCGGTTAATTATTAATGGCGCCAAGGTCACCATACACTTACCCCCGCTCGAGCAAATCATCATCCGTGGTGCTCATGCAACCACAACACTCAATCCGTGGTTTTTAACCGCAACACTCATCCGTGGTGCTCATGCAACCACAACACTAAATCGCATAAGCGAGCTAATCTACCCACTCTCAAGGGGTGAGGGTAAGTGCATGCCCTTTCTATATCTACGTGAATTAATATGATCACGAATCAAACCATTTCCATTTTTCTCATCCATCACAATCAATCCGGAATCAATGTAGTCTTACGGATTAACCAGTCCATATATATATTTCCCGTCGATTATCAACTCGACGTTTCTAAAAAAATCAACTATTTCATCATCCAATACCGAATCACATAAATCACCTCATTCTCCAGTAAAGCTACTCAGAAGTACCATGTCACCATTCCTCATCCAAAATTCATCAACAATTTCACGAAATAGCGCCAACGCAAACAATTATAAATAACCCGATTGCGGTTAAAAATATCCTTAACTCAAAATTCACTTTCCTTCATTAAAATCCTCACACAATTCATGTAAATGAACTTATTAACACAAAAATCCATTTAATCTAGTTCTGGTCATAAAAATCAATTTAGCCAATAAAATATCAAAAATCTCGTATTAACCATTATTTTACGGTAACTTAAATTCCAACAAAACGGTAAATCCGAAAATCTTCCAAAAATACAAGAACCTCCATTTATCATCCCAAAACAGGTCTGTCCAGTTTTTATATTTTTCAACAGCTCAAAACATTGAAAATAATATTATACTCGATCTTTATCGCAAATCTCGTATTAAGCTCGTTTTAACCATTTTAAAGATAAAAACTTCACCAACTGTCTAATTTACCCTTTTTAATATCAATACAAATTTAACAAGCCACTCTGACCATTTTAAAGTCAATAACATCTTAAAAATAAATAAAACACGTTTTTACCGAGCTTTCCGTAAAGTTCACTATTGTTCAGTTTTTAACTCGGAACCCATTTTCAAGTGAAGTCTCTGATAAATCTTCCCCAAAATAATTTTTAGACATACAAAAATATATTTGACCAGTTTTAAACTCAATAAACCCAACTATCCATTTTATGGTGAAACTTATCAAATACCGATATTTACACCGTAAAATCCATAACAATCAAGAATAATCACCAAATCATCATATCAACAAATAAATCATCACCCACAGTAATCCATCCATCCAAATATGCAAATCAAGCATAAATAATCGATGCAATAATTAAGGTCCTCTTAATCCCCACACACCTTAATTTAGCCGATTCCAAGTCGGGAATTAAGTTCTAAAATTCCAGAGATTGACTCTATAAAATTCTCCTTGTTCCCACGGTCGTGTAGGTGCAAACGGTTCGTCGTTTGGACGTCAAACGAAGAAACTGCGAGCCGATTACTAATTAGTACGACAAATTACATAACAATACTCTATATTTTCGAACTGTCTGACACAGTTCCAGAACTTATAAATCGTACAATTATACGCCCAGATTTTCGAACCTCATTTCTCCCACGTTTGAGCTCGGAATTCAGTTTCGTCGACTCCGTGATGCTCCTGGAGACGAGCTCTACGCATCAGTACTAAGTTTTGGAATTATCATCGCGGTTGGCGATGCCGACATCGACGTCGGGATTGACGAAGACTCTCCGAGAAACCTCTTACAAGCTTCAAAATCGATTTCTGACTCCGTAGATGGATTTCTACGGGTCCTATTACCTAAACCCGACCCTCAGGAAGTGTCATCGTTCTTTCTTTTCCTCTCCTTCCTTCCCGGTGCAACTCTCGGCCAGAAAGAAGAAGAATCCTTCTTCTCCTTATCTTATGCCCCTGGAGTCCTCTCTCTTCTATTAAACCCCATCAATAGAGCCAGTGGCGGAGCGAGAGGGTAATAGGGTGGGTCCCGGGACCCACCCTGGTTCGGGAGGAAAATGGTTAAATTAGGTACGATAATTAATTGATACAAAAAATTAGGTCACATTTAATTGATAATAGTAGTTTTGTGTTTGAATCTAATACGATATACATATTTGTGCAAACTTCAATTTCGTATAAGTTGATTTTCTTATGAATGAGCATGCTAGTAAATGGTATGAGGTATCATATATATATTATTGAATCTTTTCCAATAACTCGATTTGTTGATACTAAATATTTTTTTACAAAGAACATTATTCGAAAGCTAAATCATGAATTATTGAATGTGTAGGATTTATTATTAAACCTCTATCACCAACTCGATTTATTGATACTAACGGTTCTTGACTAAGAACTCCATTTGAAATAGTACGAGTGTACGACTAACTAAACCAATAATTGTTTGGTACGCAGAATGATATTCTTATATTTTTTACTACTAATGCATTTTAATTTACCAAAAAATTTCAATTTAAGAGTATATTAACAAAAACTATTTCATAGTGTATATTTTTTCTAGGTGGACCCACCTTAAACGAAATCCTGGCTACGCCACTGAGTAGAGCAGCCATAAAGTCACTAAAAGCCGCCTTCTATCCTGCAGAGGTATTGGAAAGAAGAAACTTGTTCACAACGTCGGGCGCCGCTTGAACGTCTCTATCTGAAGCCCGACACAGCTTAGAAACGTGGAGGCTGCTGCCTCTTCCCATTGAAACGACGACGTGTAACTAAGGCTGGTTGCCTCATACATCATGGCCGTCAAAACAAGTTATAACAAAGCTGGTTTAGTCTTTGTACCCGAAATATGGTGTAGTCTAGCAGCTAAGTTGTTGGTTTATTAGCTAATTAGCACCGGGTTCACATTTATTTATTTTATTTTAAAGCATATGTCTTTACAAGAATCACTTATAATAATCAATTACTATGATCACTATTATTGTTTCCCGTGACATCTTTCCCCGTCAATGATGCGAATTCCACGAAATTGAACCTCCATTGTAAATTTGTCTAGGAAATCTATTTTTACATTTTAAATTTATTATATTTTATTTCATTTGATCTGGGATGTTACAACAAATACGAATGTTAGGGCGACGAATATCAACCCCGAGTGAATTGAGAAGCTAAAATTTTTATTTGAAAGGATTGATGGATAAATATGAGTGAGACCGTTAGCATCCATTTTATCTTAATTTCACAATATTTATTCATAATTCTCTTATTTTAACATTTCTTCAACTAGTTAGACCGTATCTTTCAACTAGTTAGACTAATAGACTCAATTACTCATTATATTATTACTATTTTCATTCTTAAAGTATTTTCCCCCTTGTTTTATGATAAAAAGTACAATTTTGAGTGCATTTTTTTCAAATCACACACAAAAGTAGGTCAACTCACCCCGACCCGCAGTAGTATACCCCGTTATCACTGCGGGGTCGTTTAGAAGTTGTGATTCTTCAAATTGATGTATTGAGTCAATTAGTGTATTATCATTTGATGTATTAGGCAAATATATTGTTTGGAGGTTTTAGATTATGTTTTTTTTAAGCCACAAAAGTCAATTTTGAGTAATTGTGAAAAATCTTTAAAAAAGTAGAGATTGATAAACTCTCAATTTTAAGTGATTATAATGAGACCTCCAAAAAGTTAATACACATATTCTAATTCAATATAAACCAAAAAAACGACTTAATCACACAAATTCATAAATTAACTCAATACCCTATTTAAAATCACAAACTTCCAAATATCTAACCTACCCGCCATCACTACATCTAACCTCTCCTCACTAAGGCTAACTCCAATGAAGCCTCTATATATGGGGAAGCCTCTATATTTGGGGGAGATCTCCAAAAGGATCCCCAAATTTGGGGGTGGAAATGGGGGTTTTCCCAAATATAGAGACTCCCCAAAGCCCGCCACGTGGCGTTTTTTGTTTATAAAGATTTTAAGGGTTAATTGGGGTATAATTAGGGGATTAGTTAGGGGGTTTAATTAGATCAATAATTTTCAAGTGTTGTGTATAAACCCAAATTAGGTCAATCATTTTTTGTCAACAAAAATTTGGTCTCAAAATTAAAAAGAGATTCTACCGAAAAATTTGTATTTAAAAATGATGACGAACTATACAAAAATTAACATGAACAAATTATATTAAGTCTTCGATAAGTAAATTTTTAAGTAAATGGAAAACTAAAAAAATGGAGATCTCCAAATATAAAGGATGTAGCATTGAAGCAAAAGAAGGGAAAATGAGGATGAACTTCAAATTTGGGATGAAGATTCCAAATTTGAGAGCTAAAAGAGATAAAATTGGGTCCGCATAAACAAAATTCGTTTGGCTGAGCTGCTCCCCGTCGTTCGACGGCCAGAAAACATGAATTCCACCGTTTCCCTACTTCGCCCTTGCCTGCTCCCGCCACGCCACCACCGTTATCTGCATCTCGCTGCAGCATCTCCGGACGGCTTTCCTCCGCCGCTGCTTTCGACTTTTCCTTCCAAGCAATTTCGCTCCCAGCCTCCCGGTCCAAAGTTTCGCGCTCCGGTTCCACTCCACCGAACTGGTACGCACTTTCTGGAGCTTGCTTCTTCTCATTTCCCGCTTTCTTTAGTTCGATTTGACGAGGACGCAACTGGTATACTAAGTTGGTCTCGCGCCGTCCAATTGTTTCAGCTACCCTGGAGGCCGTTGAAACTGCTAATAGTGTTTCGGACTTCGTGGAAGTTGGGTATCTATCCAGCGTCCACGGACTTCATGGAGAGATTTGTGTAGAGCCCACCACGGATTTCCCTGAACTCCGATTTTCTGAGGTATGGCAGCAGCTAATTCATACAATTGAGAGGATTTCGGGATGTTTAGTATGTAATTGTTTCGTCTTATCGTTCTGAATTGATGGACGGGGTTTTCAGCCCGGGAGAAGATGGTTGAAGCAATCTGTTAACGGTAAAGAAGTGATTCAAGAAGTTGAGCTGCTTGAAGGGAGAGAAAACCCTGGGAAGAGGAGTTGGGTGCTTAGACTTGGAGGATTTGAGACAGTTGATGAGGTGAGTCCAGTCAAGTCTTGCGTCATAGCTCATGCATTTGTTGTCACCCGTGTCATGAAGGAAATTAGTGGTTCGGGTTTTGGTGATACGAGGAATGGCAATCGATTGTAGAATTGCTGAAGTTAGCAATATGCATGTATTCTGATGTGTTAATTTTCCTCAACTAAAGATTTTCGGTAATTGCAATGGTAAGGACAGATGGGAATAGTTATGCCTACTGCCTTAGTTGACTCGATTGTCGGCTGAATATGTCTTTTGGTTTTACAGGCTAGGCAACTCATTGGATCGGCTTTGCTAGTCAGAGAAGATGATAGACCTGAGCTGGAGGAAGGGGAGTTTTATACTCGTGACCTGGTTGGGATGAGAGTAATTCTCAAGGTTTGTTGTTTTTATGATTTTTTACACGCCGGCATATGTGGTCTCAAGATAATGTTAGTTTAGTATTCTTGCCTGTGAATATCTTGTTTTCTTTCTCTCTTTGGGAACGAGCTATATACTATATAGTCAACCTATTTGGCCTGTAGAATTTAGGAGCACATCTTGTTTCCATTTTGTTCTTCCCCCATCTTTGTTTTCACTTTCTTTCTGAGTTATGCTCTTCCTTGATTAGTTAGTTGATGTAGCTATCGTTGTTAAGTGCTAACCGATACTTCTGTTTATAGGATACATCTAAATGTGTGGGAACTGTTGTTGACGTTTTCAACAGTGGGGCATGTGACCTTTTAAGAGTCATGCTTTACTCAGCAACAGATGCAATTGATGGAACTAAAACTCCGGTGATTGAAGAAACTGGTGTCTCTGGCCCTCTTGTGTGGGTGCCATTTGTTGAAGCAATTGTTCCAGATGTCGACATGCACAAAAGAGAAATATGGATCACACCCCCAAAAGGACTTCTCGAGTTGAATGTACGCTCGGATGTGAGGTCTAAGAAGGAAAGGCGCCAGCTTGTGAGGCATACTTCTTTGTACTCTGCTTTACTTGTCATTATTTTGGTTGTTGGTTGAGAATGTCAAGAGCCAGTTCATCCCAATAACTCGAGTTATTGGGAAAAGTTCAATGATGGATCTTATACTACATACTAACATAGAATTTCTTCACAAAATTTGGATGAAAAATATGACTGTTTACATGATTTTCTTCCAGTTATGAAGAATATCACTGATAACAAGTCTTGTTACCCCTTTATCTCTGTTACGCTGTTATATTCGCTGTTCTAGTTAAGACTTGCTATTCTTTAAGTAGTGGGATTTTGACTTCAACTTTGGTTTCTTCATGAGCAGTAAGGCGAGGAAACATGCAATGTAATTTGTAGGCTACTTCCATTAAGCAAACAAATATTATAGCTCGCTAGGTGATTGATTTGGTGAACTATGTGGTTCTCTTTTGCTGTGCAGTTGTTCTGTTACCTCCTCATGCCCCCCTACCTAAAGTTTTTTACTTTACTAAATGAAAACCACCACTGACTTGAGTATATGATTTGACGCATTTCAGGAATGGAAAGAAAGAAAAAGGCTCCAGCGACAGCTTATAGCTGCGAAAAAAAAGTTAATTGACCTAGAGCAAAAACATGTATTTGATGGACTCAGATATGGAGAAAAGTCACAGAGGGGCTTTTTGGCAGATGAAATTGTTGCAGTAAATTCCAATCTCCTTCAGCATGCGCTAAAGGATGTTGGGATGTCATCTAACAGGTGATTTCTGGATGAACAACATTGTGAGTTTGGTGTTACTAAATATTTATGGATATGCCGTGGGTGTTGGGGCAAGTGGCTGGGCTTTATTGAATCGTTCTTACTAAAGTAACTTCCATCAAGGGTTAAGTCTGTGCTCTTACTTTCTATGTTCAGTCCTTGTAGTTTACTGTGACCCTGGCAAGTTCAGGTGTTTTCCTTGGTATTTTCTGCTCTAGGATGGTCTTATTTGTGGCATCCAGTTTTACTTAAAGCTGGCAGGCTAGGCGTGCCTTCAGCCGTAACTTTGTTCCAGCAGTTTGACTATTCTGCCTCGTATTGGTTTTTTCATTACCTATCAAGTCTATGGCTTCCTTGTTTCATTGAATATCTGGTTCTTGCACGCTGGAACAGGTTGAGTACAACTGAATTAGTAGGTGCAACAAGAGCCAAGATAAAGAATGGTTCTTTTAAGATTTCCAAGGCTAAGCTTAGTACCAGCATCAGTGTAAATGATTTGGGAGCCAATTTGCGTTTTCATGAAAATGGATGCCATCTCTTGTCTGAAGGAAAAATCGGAATTGTCTTGGTTTTGAACCATCAACTTGTTGACTCAAAAAGCAGTGCGACTGAAAATCCACTGTATACATCACTTACCAAAACACTTTCCGATGGCCAGATATTTGTAAAGGTAATATTACTTCCTTCTTTTTGTTGATGACCCTGTTTTATAGTTTTCACAAGAAGCTGTAGCATTTCATGTATACTTCAGATGGAAGACCGTGGATCTGTCCCTTTGGTTTTGGTTTGTCCAGAGCAAGAGATCCAGTCTCTGAAAGTACTATTTTCAAGCAACGACTCTTTTGGATTCGACTGCAATAAGGTTGGTGTTACTGTCATATTTGTGAAGATTTATACCAATAAAAATGTTCAACCTTGAGTTACAGTTAAGAAGAAGCATACTGCACTCCCTTTCTGTGCATTTGATCTGTCGCCATCTGCCTATTTTTAGGTTTCTAACATAAATTCTCTTCTCAGGTTTGGTTTCTGGAGGAGGAGAAACTTCCTGTTGTTACTAGTACTGCAGACGAAAACAGCAGGAATAAAATCTTGATGAAGTCTCCATGGGAAATGCTAAAGTCACCTGTAGGAACTGGAGGTGTTATTCAGTTGCTTTCATCGCACAACATTTCCAACACCCTCAGTGAAATGGGTGTCAAATATATCGAGGTTAGACATTTTCTTGCTAACTTGCAATGTTTTTTCTATTGAACATTTTGACTGAAATTCAACCTTTCGTCTATTACGAAAATATGAGAGTTCCATCCATGTTGGCATAGCATCATGTGCAGTTATGAATCCATGGCTCCATTTCTTTTACCCTTTTACCAGGTTTGCAGCACTACCAAAATGCTTGGCGGCTGGAATCCTCTGTTGCTGGGACTGGTTGATTTACAGGGAGCAGATGTTGGTTTCCAGATCTCCCAAGATTTGAGCCATGTAGAAGAGAGTTTCGACTTGATCTTTTCTGTGGACTTCGTCAAGTCATTGGCGAAACAGATGGATAAACTCCATTTCGAGGCGATCCTGACGGCAAATTCGCACGTACAGCTGGTTGAGAAAGAGTGGGTAGATATTGTGCCGTCGTCTCCAAACTCGTATGAACTCCAATGTTCGATTTACAGTTGCATAAATGCCTGTCCCCTGGACAAAGTCTGTATCATGGAAATAGTAGAATAGTTTCTCCGGAAAAATTCCTGTTTCGGTTCGAAGGAAATTTGGAATACATAGAATAGCCACCTAATTTCTATGCTTTTTACTCGGTGAGCGTTTCAGAGTCTGGAATGACTTTAGCTAACATGGTTATAGCCATTTATTAGTGGTGTGAACTGTGGACATCGGATCTTACGAGGATTTTTGTACAACATGTAATAAGAAAAAGAATTTACATGGTGTAAGTTAAAACAGTTATTAATGGTCGGTAGGGGTGCAAATGAGTCGAGTTGAGTCGAGTTACCCTAGGTTGAGTTTGGCTCGTTAATATATAGTTTAACAAACCTATGAATTATCAAAATTCAAATCATAAGATGCAGATCGATTCGTTGATAAGTTGGTAAATGGGTTGCCTCTCTAGCCATAATGTTAAGACATCTTATGAGCTCTAAACGAGTCAGCTCATGAGTTGAGCTCAACAAGCTAGCGAGTCGAGCTAGCTCACGAGCTTCGCAAAGTTGAGTTTCGAACGAGTTTTTCTCGAGCCGAGTCTCGAGCCGCTCGTGAGCTACTCGACTCATTTGCAACTCTACTTCTCTGTTGTATTTATTTTGGTCATGAGAAGGCAAGTCAGTCAAGATAGGAGCTTTCAAGAATGAAAGCTGCCCTATTAACAGTTTAGTGCGTCAACGACTCACTATGTGAATGACAATGTAGTAGGTATTATTGATATCCTAACGAGCAGAGTATTAGATGGTTCACTTCTAGGAATTGGAGCATTGGCGCCAAAGATCATTACTTGGTTTTACCTAAAAATATCATTACTTGGGGTTGCTATTTGTTATCCACAATCAAGACACCTTTATCACTTTGAATATGCATTAGTCGCAAAGTTACAAGGATGATAGACTCAGGAGTGACACAATATCACCAAGGGTGCTCTTTTTTCCGAATGTGGTACACTATACTATGTGCACAAGTAATACAAAAAAGTCATTTGAAAATGACTAGTGAGAGTCACTTGAGAGTTGAGACATTTGGAAATAACTTAGGAACATAATACATTTGAAAATAATTTAATAAAGTCATTTGAGACTTTCATATGAACGAAATAATTTATATATATTTTCTGTTAGCATAGGAGTCATTTGAAATCAAATAAATCAATTGAGTAATTTGGTATCAAATTTATAAGAGATACAATCGAAATATCAGTAGTGAAACAAACATATTGAGGACTGAGGAGCATGATGTATGGGCCAGTCTGCATGCTAGGTCTACTGTTGCTTATATTTTTAAAATAGCCCAAGCACCATTAAGGCCCAGCTCGTAACGGCGGCAGATCTCAAACGTTCAACTTACACCGGTATTCTCGGCCGTTGATCCGGCCTTACGATCTTTTTTAACCTAAGCTGGACCTCCACGGCCGAAAACCCTAGCCCTGGAGCTTATAAGTATCGATAGAACTATTGCTGAACTCCGAACCCTCGGCGGCTAAGGGATCCCCCCTGCGGTGAGCTTCCTCCCTCATCTTCGATTTGATTTCTGTTGTTCAGTATCGCTTGTCGTTGTTGTTGTTTGTGGATATCGGTGTTTGCCCGATTCGTCGCGTGATTCATTTTCTGGCTGCAGTAGGTGAAGAGGTTAGTGAAAATGGCGGTTCCGTTGCTGACGAAGAAGATCGTGAAGAAGAGGGTCAAGAAGTTCATAAGGCCCCAGAGTGACAGGAGGATCACCGTGAAGGTATAAATATGTTTTTCTATTGTTGTTTAAGCCCTAGGGTTTTGAATGGCTGATCTAGTTTCATCGGCGGAATTATTTTGAGATCTTTGGCTTCGAAAATGATGATTGAACTATTGTCGCCCCAGTCTTACTCGCATCTTGGTATGCGAGATGGTGATTGACATTTCTATCTGATTCTCGAAAGTTGAAACTTAGTTGAATTGATGATTTCTTAGTGGTTCGCTGTATTAATTTTTCCTGTCGAGTCATTGAATCTTCATTTTACTCAATGTAATTGGGGTTGCGGTTTTTGATTAAAGTATGATGATAGCATCTTGACACCCAGTATCACTTGCATCCTCATTGTTGCAATATGGTGAGCCAGAGATCGACTATCTGATTCGTTCTTTTCTAGATTATGTATATAGATCCAGTTTTAATTAACACGTTTCATGTTGCTTTTGGTGTAGGGCTCTTTTAGTTTAGAGGATTTGATAAATTATGGGACGTGATGAATATTGTTTGACACCCAGTCTTACATCCTTATGGAAACTGGAGAGATATAACTTTAGACTGATCCCGTGTTACAAATTTTTTCTCTTTTGTTGCTCAAATGATATTTTGAGCCGTTTGGTTTTGAAAATTCTATCTTTTGGTTTTATTTTGGAACATATGCACTGAGAAGTGAGGATACCTATCCACCTTCACTGTCATTGGATGATGAACAAAAACATGCACTACCATCTGATCTCTTTGCATATGTTTCTATTTTCTCATATTGGGGATGTGATTTTCTCTGTTTTCCGTCTAATTTTTTTTTTGTATAAAATCTTTGTTTGCACTTTGGGTGCCTGCAATCTGTGATGCAAATATTCCATTAATCACTGATTTATATCTGACGATTCATTTCAATATTCACCATCTTTCGGCTGAGGTTGCAGTTTCAACTACATGCACTTTTTGAATCAGTTAAAATGTTACACTAGAAGTTGTCGATTTGAGTTTGCCCATGGTATCTGATGTCCAGAATTTTTTGCATATCTGGTCATTTCGTTTTTTTCTGGGCATAAAGAAATTAGGTGGCAGTTGCGACACGGTTAGCTGGTTTCTTCACAGGCTTTCTGTTACTTTATCTCTGCTCACATGCTGGCACTGTAATATTTAACTCGTTATACCCTAGCTTTCCTGTTATTTAATCCAAATTTAGCTTTGCTGTTAGCAATTTACCAATTCTTCCTTTGGTTTAATCATTTCTTTTCATATTCACAGGAGAACTGGCGTAGGCCAAAGGGTATTGACTCTAGGGTTCGAAGAAAGTTCAAAGGATGTACTTTGATGCCCAATATTGGTTACGGCTCAGACAAGAAGACTAGGCACTACCTTCCCAATGGCTTCAAGAAATTTGTAGTCCACAACGTGAAAGAGCTCGAAGTGCTGATGATGCACAACAGGACTTACTGTGCAGAGATTGCACATGATGTGTCCACAAGGAAGAGGAAAGAGATAGTCGAGCGAGCTGCTCAGCTGGATGTTGTTGTCACCAACAAGTTGGCCAGGCTGCGCAGCCAAGAGGATGAGTGAAGGTTATAGCTGGTGGAATCTGAGTTTGTAATGAAGAGCTTTGCTACCGACTGTGCTACTTCTTTCTCTAAATGGATAGGTTTTAATCCTTTCACTCATGGTATTGAAAGAGGATATATACACTTTTGAACTATATTTGAAGTTGATTACTCGTTTTCTTCTTTATACTCGGGTGCGGTTGTTGCATCGTTTTCTTCCAAATGTTGATAAAGATACAAAGAAGAAATACTGCGGCTCGGCTTGGGTAAATGTTTAGTTTGGTTATTGATTTTACTAAAAATGTGTCATGTTTATTCATTGAAAAAATTAATAATTTGGTCACTCGAATTATTGAAAGAGTTTACTAAATAGTGTTTCAATGGGCTTGTGATTTTGGGAGGATCTGGAATTTGGTGGAGAAGAGGAAGGAAGAATGGCATACGAGGAAGAAATAGAGGACTAAAGGCAGAGTGGCGGTGGTGGTCATTAAGCACCGGCGAATGGTTCCTAGAAGTGAGAGAATCAAGCCAATGTGAAGGCGGCAGTGCCGAAAGGAAAGAGAAGAAGATTTCCCAGGCGAGGAAGGCCTCCTCCATGATTCCGATTCCAATTTGCACTACAATTGCGATTCCAATTTCCGGATCCTATTCTCATTCAATCGCGCAGATGTGGAGGACGCGCTCTATGTTTATTGATTGAGGGGAGCCCATGGCAGTGTGCTTGGCTTTAAGGTTGTTGATTGCGGAGCTAAGTGAAAAGATCCGTGGAAAGGGAAGTTGAGCAAGCTATGTGTTACGCCACCGCCGGAAGTAGTGGGGGAGATGAAGCGGTGGGGAAGAACGACGAAGGGTCAGAAGCAAGAAAGGCAAGTCAGGGAAGAAGAGAGGGTTAGAGTCTAGAGATTGGAGAAGGGAAGAGGGGGTTGGGTTGGGTTGGGTTAGGTTGGGCTGGGGTCAGTGATGTGGGGTTTCATTATTTTAGGGCTATGCTGATTAGGCAATTTTGTTTGTCACATCAACACTTAATGGACTTTGTTAACGAAGTTGGATGGAGACTAACAAAGAGTGATTAAATGTGGACTGTTTTAGTAATTCGAGTGACCAAAATTGATATTAATTTTTTCCAGTAAGACACATTTTAGTAAACCCAGTTACCCAACTTGACTTTTACCCATTCCTTACCTACTCCAGTCATTACACTAATTGTACTCTTCCTCGGGGTAGTAACTTTAGCTAATCATTTCCAGTTATCGGGACAGCAGAATCCGTTGTAAGTACTAGTTTAGTCGTCATTTTCTTTTGTAGAAAGTTAGTGGTCATTTTAGGTTTTAGCAGTGCAATGATTGTCTCTAAAAGAGTAATATCTCAACCTTATCTAAACAAAATATTGTATGCTTTGAGTCTATAATGTATGCTTTGATTCTATTTCATATGGTTTCGCTTTTGGGTTCATATCTTTGACGGCTTCTCGAAAGGTCACCTATCCTTGTATTGCTCCACTGTGAGCATGTGTAACTTTAGATTTCTTACAAGAACTCATCCATTTCATAAATAAACGGATCTTGTCGGTTAAGGTTGAGAATGTTTCTTATGAATCATAGATCAATCCCGTACTTTGTAGATATGAGATTTGTCTAACGTGTTAAAAATCTGCAATAATTGGACACAAAAATATATAATTCACAGGTAATTTTATATTCCTAGAAAAATAGATGTTTTGAACTGAATTTTGCAGTTGATATGAAATCTAACTACGTCGGATGGGTCATTTTTTTTTATAATGGTGATGGTATATTGATAAAGGAAAAAGAAAGAGAACCGAGAACAAAGGTTGAGGTTCAAAAGACTGAACCTGTCCAGCAACAATAGAGCCAAGATACAAAGCAAAACACAAGAGATAAAGGAAACGAAAAAAGAACAGAATAGGAAAAGGAGAAGGAGAAGGAACCAAAGGAAAGAGGAAATCCAACTAGGTGGAGCCGACCACCCCTGAAGGATCAAAAAAAAAAAAAAAAAAAAAAAAACAAACAGGGCCAACAAACACAGGGACCCGAAACCAAGGCCACTAAACCCAACGACAGAGACCAAACGTCGGATGGGTTATGCCATGTAGGCATCCTCATCTGAATCATCTCCTTGTCCCTCTTCTCCCTCAAAATCATAATATCTCTAAGAGGATTTCATCATTTCTTTTGCCTTCAAGGTGAAGGGACAATTAGATGTGGTCAGGTTTTCCACACTTGTAATATCGTTGTATTTCCTTTACCTGGTTTCCTGCATCAAAATGTTTAATCAGCTAAGAACGCAACATATCTTGGAACGAGCTTTTAACTTTGTCAAAAGAGTTAGTACGAGTAGTATAGTATTTTCGATGACTATCATGTGGTCTATGTTTATGTTCATTATTGTACTTTACCAACTGTGGAGCTTATTGCTAACCAAAACAAATTTTCTATCAAAATCTTGTTCATTATCAGATTCATACTCTGTAACATATATATGATTTAAAAGATAGAGATATTTTATGCTTCTCGTCATCTTTTCCTACTTGCTTAGTGACATGCTCGTTACTTAACAGCGAGCCAATCAATTCATCACCATGCAAAGTAGTTAGATTTCATACTTCTCCAATAGCTGTTTTCTTAGGTAACCACTCTTTAGTCTTTAGGCAAAGATCTCAAGATTTTTCGATTTAGATCTTTGGGAAGAAACATTTTCCCTAGACCCTTGACTTCATTTAATAAAATAGTGAACCGAGAGTACTTTTTTGTGGATGCCCTCACCTGGATTTATTTCGAAGCACTTGTATTCATGCACCTGCAAAATTGATGAGAGTCTCTTTGATGCTAGAGGTTCCTTTATAAGTAATCTCGAGGGACCAAAAAATTTCCTTAGCAGTTTCACACTGCTCCACTTTATCGTCCTCGTCGGGAGCCATGGCTGATTAGAGTGTGTGCATTGACAAGAGATTTTGCTCTTCGACATTCATTGCTACTGGTTTGTCACGAGCAAAAGTCCAGAGATCTTCATCAAATCCCCAAAGAAAGGTCTCATTCTTTTCTTTCATGATGTATAGTTCGAACCGGTGAAAATGACAGGATGGTTGTAGGACTAGGACGCATGTCCAAAGGTTGAGGAAGCCATTGACAGGATCTTCCATGGCAGTAGTGACTCCTTCAAGTGGAAGCTCTGATACCAATTGAGAGATGAAAAGAGATTAATTAAAACTCTAGGGTTTGTTAGACCAAATGAATAAGGAAGACTAAAAGAATGGTGAATAATAAGGGAAAAGAAACAAGGAGTTGATGTTGGAGTGACGATTCACTTTTCTGAAAGACAGCGAGGTTGGTAATGGGCTGAACACAACCTATACGGCCTAGTCACTATAAAGAGTGGTGAACCGGTAAGTTGTATTAACGGAGGCCTAAAGAATCTCGTTTTTCAGGGCCAACAACACTAGTTGTGAAGTTCTTCAGAACAACCAAACTATTTCACTAAAAGAGAGAAACATAGGACTAGGAGCTAGAGGTGGAAAATGAGATCCAAATCCATTTATCCAATCCAATAAAATCCATTTAAAATGGATCCAAATCCATTTAAGTTTATCCAAATCCATTAGATCCATATCCATTTGATTCATGGATTGGTGGATTGGACTCATGGATTAATGGATTGATCCACCAATCCATTAACACATATTATTTTCTTTAATCATTTTATAATATATCCTAATATGAAAAAACCCCTGCTCTTAGACTTTTAGTACTGTCGACTCCTACTCCAAATATTCTCTCCGATCCCATAAAAAAAATTCTCTCCGACGAGGCGACGACGAAGAGCAGAGCCAGCGACCTCTCCACCTCCTGCTCTCCATGTCCAAATTCACCCTGACGCCGTCCCAATTGAATCTTCTTTCCCTCCTATGTGATTAAACAACTCCAATATGTTCCTCTCCCCTGAGTATGAATCAGACCCAACATCCAACTCCCATCCTGCGAATCGACCCTCCTCCAGCGCCGGCGAAATCTCCGCTGCCTGGCCCTTCTATTTGAGAACCCATCCTGCGAATCAAACCCTCCTCCAGCGCCGACGAAATCTCCACTGCTTGGCTCTTCCATTTGAGAACCCACCCTGCGAAATCGACCCTTCTGCAAATAATGAAGCTGGACTAACCGATAAGATGCAACCTGCGGATGGAGATGACTATGGAGTTTGGCCTTGATTTTCCCTCCAAGCGCCTTTTCTTACCTTGCTGGTCTTCAGCGAAACCCTAGCGCCCTTTCTTTCTTGCATAATCTTATTTGTGGGATTGATCGAAATATTGAAAGTTTAGCTCAGTTTGGAATCTGGGCTTGCTGATTTTCACCACCACTTAACCATCCTCTATCCAAATTGACAGCAGTCGGAGGAGAAAGATCTTTGGAATTGCTTGACGAGACTACGAATATAAGCACTGGAAAGGTGAGGCTCCTCTTTACTATCGGTTTCAATTGCTTCTTTAGTTGCTTCCTTGTGCTGCCTTATTGAAGATGATTAGATGATCCAACCCTCGTTTCAGTATGTGCTCTCTCTCAAAAGGAAGAAGAAAAGTTGGCGATGGTGTTGTTGGCAGGGTGAACCATGCCCTTTATTTTTAAGTTACTTTTGCTGAGAATCTTACCCTCTCTGTTTAGGGATTTATGGTTATGGAACTTGAATCTTCTTTAGTTGGTTCCCATGTCCTAGGTTGCTATAACTTATACAAAGAGAAAGAAATACCATGATCATGTAGTTATTCATACTGTCGTAGGAATGTTATCTGTGATTTTCCAGTTTAGTGAATCATGTTATAGTAAACATGATTGTATGAACAACTTTTAAGTTTGGATGTGAAATTAGGACATAGAAAGGAGGATACAGTTTACCATTTTTTCTCATAAATTAATCGAAATCCATTTCATACTAACTTGCAGGTGATGTATAGAGCTCCAAAGATTGGGGTAAAGACCTAGTAGCTGCTTGGTCAGAGGGACAAGTTTGTTAGGTAAGCTATTTTACGGTTTACTATCTCTTCTCTTTGTCCTCCTCTGAACTGGAAGGGAATAAACAACAAATAATAAACCGAGTTCTTTTTTCCCATGATGTTTTTCTGGAATATTTGGTCAGTTTTGGAACCATCAGAATGTGTTTGTTTAGCAGCAAAACTTAGTTGTCGCAAGTTACCTGGCTAATGGAAACATTTCAGTATGAGCAACATATTGTATGTCATTTGTCTTCACCCTAATGACTATGTGCTTTATGTCCTTCTCCTGCTTATGCTTATGCTTATGCTTTGGATAAGGATTAAGTTGATTGTGATTTCATTTC